AAAGAAGAAAAAGAAAAAGGTCAAGCCAGAAGCGGAAGCAGAGTCTACAGCACGGCCTATCGTAGCAGATCCGATATCGACTGAACCTGATAAACCGAGAGATACGAAAGTGGGAGTGCAACCGCCTGTCAAGGCAGAAGCAATACTAGAACCGAAGCCAAAACCAACAAAAGCCGCTCCACCCCCTGCGGAAGAAGAAGATGACGATGATATCTTTGGTGGCGTAGGCGAATACAATCTTGGTGGAGGAGCGGAGAGCGATTCTGATGATGACGATGACGATGAGAAGATGGATGTCGACCCTCCCTTACGCGGTCGTTCGCCGATCAGAGGAAGATCAAAGACTCGGTCGCCTGTTACTCGAAAAGAGGGACTCGGGCCTCGTTCACCTGGGTATAGGCACAATAGGTCGTATTCTCGTTCTCGCTCAAGATCAAGATCGAGGGAAAGAGGCGGATCTAGGCGAAGAGGCTCGCGGTACGATTCGAGATCTTTCTCAAGGTCTCGATCGAGGTCGAGAGGGTATCGGCGATATTCGAGATCGCGATCAAGGTCGTACGACAGAAGATCGCCCAGTCCGTATAGATATCGACGTTATCGGTCTCGATCAAGATCGCGATCGAGGTCACCATATCGAGGTTACAGGAGATCGCCTTCGCGACCGAGAGGCGGCTACAGGGCTAGATCAAGATCACAGTCACCCAGGAGATACCGCTCGCCACGGAGGTCAAGATCACCTAGACGATATTCGCCTCGTCGTCGTTCATATACACCTAGGCGATCAGTATCTCCCAGAGACCCCTCACCCGCACCCGCCCCGCGTGTTAGATCTCCCAGCCGTTCTCCTTCGCCCTTGTTGCACGATCATCCCATCGCTGAGTCTCGCTCGCCATCGCCAGAATTTGAAGGACCGCAGGCTACGAAGCTCCAGCCTCTTTCGTCGTCCGCCATTCCGTCCCTCAAGATTTTCCTGGAAGCAGACAGTGAAGCTTCCATGGCTGATGAGAAGCGGTTGAAAAAAGCCAAATGGCGAGCTGCGCAAGGCTTACCTAGCCAGGAAGGAGGTGCTGAGATGCTCAACGACGGTAAAGGCGGAGGGATGAACGAGAAGCAGAAAGCCAACAGGGATTACCAGTTGCTCATGAACAAGATGAGTAAGGACGAGGGAGGTACAAAGATCCAAGAGGACGAGTAATGCACCGAGGTGCATGGGCCTTGTAATCATCGTCCTATATCCGATCCCGTGCTTGTAAAAAAGTCCAGACCGGCGTTATGTACAACCATGCATGTAATGTCTATGATACATATATGAGGGATATGAGCAAAACATACCCGGTCTTATTACGTTCTACGAACGCGTCTTCTACGTTCCACCCGTTAATTTTTCTCCGCTGAAACATCCTTCATCCTCCCGTCGATCAGCGGGCAGACGATAGCAAGATCATCACTTAGATTATCTAGCTTCTCCTTCTCTTGGCCGATAAGGATCTCTCCCGTCTTCTTGGTGCTTTGGGTGTCGGTGCCCTTTGCCTGATCAGCGGACCCGCTAGCGTCCTTCGGCCAACCGCCCAGCATGTGTCGACTCTGGCGCATAGCTTGTCCCGCCTGATGATTTCGCATTTGTCAGCTACGACCGCGAGCCGATCTGGCGGCCAAACACATGATATTCCATGTTTCAATCGAAGAGCACTCACGACTTCATCCACACTGCTCATGTGCTCGTGCTTCGCGACGTGCATAGCATCTCTGATACTGGACCAGTCATGCGCCACCACATGCCTCCTCAATACGCCCCAAGCAGATGATGCGCTTTGTTCCGATACAGGCGACAGGACCCCATTCCGAGGGGAGAGGTAGCCTTTAGCAGAGGTAGGGGACGATGAGAGAGAAGAGGACGGGGAATACTGATGCTGAGATCTGGCTCGGGTGAGAACCGTGTCTGTTCGTGTTGAAAGATGGTGATTGGCAGCTGCTTCAAGCTGCTTGTGACGGAAGATGTACGACGAGCCTGTTTCGCAGAATCGTACGGTCAGTTCGAATTCCCATTACACGATATCCGCAGAGCATAATCAACCCTGCTTACCCAGAAGGAAAGAACGGAGGATACTGCTCATGATCTGCCCGTTCTCGTCATCGACGATGAATCGACGATGCTTTAACGCCTCGAATCCATCGTAGCCTTGTGCCATATAGTCTCGGGTGATCTGGTCACCAATGTCAAAACAAGCACTGCGAACGCAAAAGAGACTAGGAAATTGCGCTTACCACTCGATACATCTTTGAACTATCGCGTTTCACCTCCTCCCCTAGAGCCAGTTTCTTTTGCTTAACAACCACTCGGGTCCCATCTTCCTGTTCGGAGAAGTCGACGAAATCCTGAGGATTTTCAATCTCATCCTCGTCCCTTTCTTCCTGCTGAAGCTGATGAATGGATATGATCCTGGATCCAGGTGGTTTGGCATGATCCCACCGGACGACGAGACCAGAGACAATCGGGAACCGACCTTCTTGAGCAGGCCATTTGCTAAGTGCCGACTCGAGCGTTTCCCAGATTCCTCGGCCGTCGATCTACAGGGAGGCGATCGTGAGCTTGATGCGATAAGCCGTGACTTTGGCACATGAAGCTCACCTCCAGACAAACGACCGGATCCTCAAACGGCAGAATCTCTGGCGGATTGATCAGGCCAATCAGTCATCGGCAGATCTTGCCAGCCCTTATACCAACACTCACCCAAAATATCACCCAGCGTGATCTTGCCTGGACCGTACTGAGAATCTCCTCTCACAGTACCACCGCAAAGAATCACAGCGTCCGCTCCTCCTTTGTGCTCCTTAGCCTTGTCCATAGCTTCACCGTTCTTGTCCTTTCCTTCCAGCATGCTCTCAGCGTATGCATGTAAAAGCACATCGGCAATCCAGTTGCCGAGACCGTTTTCCTGCGTCCTCACAATCTCCGATCTTGCATCAAAGGGCGAAAGGGTGAAGCAGACTGGCTTGGAAAGCGCATCGGATACGGAAGACAATAGCGATTTCACCATCTCGTCGAAACCCTTGTCTGATGGCGAGGACGGCAGGACATAGTGGTGTTTTCCGGTCAGTCGTGTTATGAGGTGTTTCCGGACTGATCCGGGTGGCTGCGGGGTGAGCTCTAGCTGAGCGGAGGTGAGATCCCTGAAGTCTGTGCCGGACTTGATGAGGCTAGTCGGGCGAAGAGATTAGGATCCCACTGACACAGGCAAGGTCACTGTCACTCACTATACACCCTCATCCTCGGTGGTTCCAGGTACACCATGTCGACCAGAGTATCCATCCCAAGCAGCGTTACCCGTCCCAATCTAATGTATAATACGTCAGCTTTGTCAGTTGTCCTAGGCACAAACTCCATCTGCAAGCGAACTCACGTAGTAGATGTGATCATGACCGCCAATCAACAGATCCACACCATGCTGATTCTCCAGACCATGTCGCTTGGCTACAGCTCCGAGCGCATTACATGTTTTGATGTCATTTGGTACTCGACAATGCGTTAAAGCAATGATGATATCCACATTCTCGCCTTTGGGGTCTCTCAGCTCTCGTGATAGCTGGATCCCGACTTCGACCATAGATTTGTAAACAAAGTTCTGAGGCCAAGAGGGGATGGTTGCGATCCAGTCCCTACCAAATTGAAATCACCTTGTTCAGCATGACACCGGTGTCAGGATTTGCGGAATAACGCTTACTGCTCTACCAGGCCTATCACTCCGACTTTCACGCCGCACCTCTCGAAGATGTGATACCGCTTCAAGGGTGATGGTACTTTCCCAGTGTTCTGATCCACGATATTTGACATGAGCCAGGGGAAGGTAGAAGCGTTGATGAGTTTCGTCAGATGTGGGTAGCCTGGTCGCATGGCAAGTCAGCTTCGCCGGCGTAACATAGAGGGTTGGACGTACCGAAATCCCAGTCATGGTTTCTATCGCAAACGTGTCGTGGACGCCGAAATTGATCAGCTCCAGTACTAGGCACTCCAGATCAACGGTGGGACCTAGGCGTTCACTCACCCAACACAAGATACGTCAACTTTCAGTCCATTGGCAATAGGGGTCATATGACTACCTCTTGTGACCGAGCTCTCGACACTGGGGTTAAAGATGTCTCCGGCAAAGAGCACCAGTCCATCTTTCTCGCCATCTTGCCTGTCCTTCCATTTACCTCGCTCAGACAACAGCAATCGTGCGAATTGAGATACGTTTATATGCTGGCCGCCTGATTTGTCCTCGGGCGCGCCTGGCTGAGGGTTGTATTTCTGAGACACTCGATAGACGTCGTTGAAGCATAGGATAGGTAGGGTCGGCATCTCGACATGATAATGGGCAGAAACAAAGGGAGAAGAATAGGAGGGAAACCCGTGAGATGTATCTAGATAAGATAGCTTGTACTAGTGGACGAATTGCGCTTGAGCGAATTCAGTACGAGTACGATCAGATCGTCATGTCATCACTCGAGAACTGGGCGTTACGCGCGCTCCGGTCATCCGCACGTGGAACCACACAAAGGTTAAGCTAAGGCCCCTTTCATGCCGAACATAGCGCTGGTCGTCACATCACATCCAATGTTTGCAAGTCAGTCAGACCTGCGAGATTGTGCTAGGTTACAATTCTTCATCCTTCAGGGCACATGCATACACTGTATACAGCTAGCCTGGGAATGAGGTCCCGGGGACATGTGGCGCCATCTTTGGGGCGTTTGGTGGCGGATGCTCTCTACTTCGGCGACAAGGCTGACAAAAGGATTACAGCCACCGACCACTACATATCCGGGCAAGGCGGAGACTCATGACAGCTAATCGAACAGCAGAGCCACTATCCAAACCCAGACTCGGCCCTACAGCATACATTCCCAACACCCCTCTCTGGTCCTTTTCAGCTCCCAGCTGTCTCCAGGCCCACCTTGGCACCTCAAAAATCTGCAAGATTGCATTATAAACAAGACAAACAGCTGTAAAACAAAATCACCAAGCCCGTGTGGCGAAATTGGTTATCGCACCCGACTTTTAGCGAAAGCAAAAAGGTCAATCGGGCGGTTGCGGGTTCGAGCCCCGCCATGGGCTTCCTTTTTGGCTCATCGAGGGATGGAAAGTCGAGCCTAAGGCAAATGTTCATCGATGGATTTCGGCGATTTCCGACAATCGAATGTCATCTAACCGTGCAGCGCAGATGTTTCGGGATCTCAGTGGCATGTACGACTGAGACTGGCATGGCATGACAGTTATTGACATCGTCCAATACAGTACAGTCGAGGTCAACACACACACCTGTCGTGAAGAAGTGTATGTGACGGCTCACGTACGCTGTCGAGCACCGCGTGAGATGTGTCTCTCGTTTCAGTTTCAGATGACTGCAATCTTAGAATCTCGCGACTGTTTTGAGCTTGAAGCACTCTGCTGTACGTATCCCGACCCATTCAAGTGGAGATGAATAGACGATCTAGTCGAATGACTAGGTAGAGATTACATACAGCATGTACTGAGTACTTGAATGGACTTAAATGGGCTTGAATGGGGAAGAAATCCCAGTTCGCATGATATGGACAGAAGTCTCCTCAGCCTTGTGACATATATAAACACGGCGCTCTCTGGCGAATGTCTTTCCTTTTCTCTTTTCAAGATCTCCATCTACTCACTCAACATATCCACACCCAACTCCGCAACCTCTTCTCGTACTTACACTCTCCGCAACACTCTTGAACTCAACCTCAAAACATGACTCGTTCAATTACTGCCAGCCCCGACACTCCAGTCGTTTCTGCCAAGGCGGAATGCCCTCCCGAACTGGTGGATAGGCTTTACCCGGTACCCGTTCCCTTGCCCGTCTTGACCATCTTCACCGGTCGAATGGGCAAGCATCACCTGCCCGTTTTCGAAGGTGCGCCACGACCAGTCTCGGAAGTTCTACAAGAGGCTGTTTTGCTTGCGGTTCGTCTAGCAGAACAGCTCATCTTGTCTCCAATGGGCGTCCAAGCCGCCTGCGAAATCCTAAGCGGATCGACTGAGCCTGATGCGAGGGTGGAGATCGCGGTCCATAGGGTCCTGCACAGGGAGCGGTTTGTCGTGGTCCTGCTCCAGGACAGTCTGCATGAGCAAGCGGGGTACCACGCCCGACCTGCGTGGGGCAATGAGCGGACGCCTATAATGGAGCGCACGCTCTTTATCCAGCAATGGGTAAGTCTATTCATCAGTCTTCTTGAAATCCCTTCCCATCTCACGTGAGCCCGAAAGCGGAGCTGACCCGTGTCCACGCAGTATTTCGACCGTATGGTCGAGGCGAGCGAGCGCGCGAAGGGGGCCAAAGAAGAGTGGATGAGGCACTCGTTCTTGGCCGCGACAGTAGTCATTCACCAAGTCATCCACGCGATGAGAAGAAAGGTAAGTTCCTTAAACCCACCCATGCAAGCTGCATTGCTGACAGTCCAGCGGCGCAACGATAATCAATCTCTCCAGGTCTACCTGCTTCTCAAACCGTATGGACTAGAGGTGCCCTACCAGACGCCTTCATTATGTCCCACCGCGGGGGCGTACATCGAAGGTGCCGGTGGCTGGGAGTTTGAGACGCGTCTGCTGCAAGGTCGACTCGATGGCCTGTGGAGGACGGCCAAAAATCCAAGCCTCCAGAATAGCGTGTCCAGCCTCGCTTCCTTGGAAGCAGAGGATCAGGATGAGGATTGGGACCGGGTTCTACCCACCATGCGGGCGCCTATCGAGGTGAAGGTGAGAACCAGAAGCTAGAAATATCCGAACCACCCTGATATATGCTGACCCCCCTACGTAGACGGAACCCATAGCCTTCCTCGCCATCGCTCGCGGGGAGGCACGTTATCAGATCGCTCCAGAATGGCTGGAAGAGCTGCACAGCGGTGAGTGCCCGTGCCCTATCTGCATGCGCCTGAAATCGGTGGCTGACTTAGTCGTACAGCGTTTGAGAAAGGCGATATCAGCAGAATATCCTTCCCTCCTGCCATCTGCCCCGAGCCCATCGACAGAGGCGGACATCAGCCATGTCTGTCGACGAAAAAAGGGTCGGGGTCCCGTTATCAGGCCTGCCGAATAAGCAGAGCGCGCGGGATCGATAGATATGGCACAGGAAGCTATTTAGATTACCACTGTTATATCGGCTCAGACGGGGGAGGGGTTGAGAGTGACACATCATGCATGGGATAGCATGAGAGGCGATAACCACGTGACGGGTCGAGGATCCTCTGATTTGGTGACTTGGTGCCTCGATCCCGTAAAATGGGTGAAATAAGGCACGATCCGGTCCGAGATGGTTTAAATCGCGATCTCAACGTCGATCGATGGGATGAGATGAAATCTGGCGTCATTAATCTCCCTTTTTCCCTGTTTGATCTCAGCTCAGTCCAATCGACATCTTACCTGTATATATGCGGAACTCAGCATCACGCCGTCCCAGCCGCAAACCGTGCTCCTTCGATACGGGCGAGTAAGCAAGTGCCCTTGACCATCTTACGATAAGATTATTGAAACCAATGGAGTGTTCGCGCTATGCCGATCTTGGCCGGACATCCCAGTCGATGCGATCCGGCTAACTGCGATTTATTTTGATTTTGGCTCATGATGATGATGCAATCCTGTACTTTGTACGATAAACTAAAAAGATCTCATGTTTCAATCGCAGTTGCAGTCGCGTGCATGCAAATCAGTATGTGATTACGCACGATGCAAGCCGGTCGCATATGGTCTTGTCGCGACTCATGCGGCTCATTGCAGGAGTTGCCAAATGGGCATTCCAATACTGTACATAATCATTTGATCGAATTCATGCCTCATATACTGCGTGTTCAATAACTCACTCCGATATGTCGCACACCACCAAGAATATAGTGATTATAGGCACAGACTTGGTAGGAACCTCGACGGCATACTATCTCAGCCAAAGTAGCGATCTCGATGAAAAAAGGAATGTCATCTTGGTGGAAGAGGGAGAAGTCGGCGGTGGTTCTCAAAGATATGGGAGCGGATTGATTGGCGAAACCCAAGGGTCGGTTGAACATGAGAATGGATCGCTGCAAGGTGGGTACTCTTTTTATAGGCACCAGACAGGTGCAAGATCACTAACAGACTCGCCATATCCGTCTCTTGTTCCTTCGCTCCTTGGACCTCGCACCATCAGAACTCACAGAGTTCAGCCTGAGACTGCACTCCAAGCTGGCGCGGAAATACGATGGGCTCTTGAAGTGGGGGTATAGCCCTATAGATGTGCAGGTGAGTGTACGTTCAGTGCCAGGCTCTTTTTGGAGAATGTATGACTCTGACAATGGTCCGGCGTTTTCTTTTAAGCGGGCTGAAGCGGGCTCGGCGGAGTCACGGTACCCGACGTCTGGGCCGAATTCAGATCTAGATCCGACATCGACGACGATCAATGACCCCATATCAACCCCTTTTGCCGCGCTGAGACTGGCATCCCCATTGTCCAGCCTAACGGCAACTTCAGATATATCCTCAACGTCCATTGCTCGGAGCGCGGTGATTGACCCAGTCCTGCTCACAAAGTATCTATGCTCGATCTTCCTCGGCCATCCGAGATGTTCACTTCTCATAGCTAGAGCAACATCATTGACCTTTGAAGATCAACCTGTCGCTGCGAACGGATCATCGTCTTCGGATGTAAGTTCCGAAACTAGAAGAGTAAGCGGCGTCAACGTCGTGCAGAAGATTAACGGAGTCGAAGAGATCGTCCATGTAGCAGCGAGCTCAGTCGTCATCTCAACGGGCTCCAAGCTGCTTTCCACTTCCCGATCCTTTCTAGGCGAGGATGCCGTTCAACGTCTGCGGTTAGATGAGCGGGTCGGAGAAGAGACAAGGGAGAGCATTGTGTTGAAACCGAGGGAGAAGATCAACCCGCTTGCGATGAAGGTGAATGTGGGGTCTGAATCAGACAAAGAGCTGGCAGTTGTGGTCAGGGATGACGGTAGGGTCCATATGTGAGTGAAACTTTGATGGCAAGTCAAAGGTCCTAGCCAGATATCTTCTTCCCCCCCCAGTCCATCCAGCATTCCAATGATTAGTGATAAAACACGGGAGATCGACGTAAGGAAACCGTATGACCGAAAAATAGTCTTTCCTTCTGCTCACACTCCTTCGACTTGGCTAGTGGCCGATTCATACCATCTATACATCAAAAGCAATCGGAAAATTCAGCGACAACCAAGCCGCATACGGACGGAAACGCCAGTGGTAACGGACATAGCGAGGGCAATATGCATGCGGACGAACTCGACGATCTCTTACCCATCGTCGAAGGCCTCTCACCCCATTTCAAATCATCCCGTGGGACTTTACTGATCTCGCGTAATAAGCACAAGGTACCTTTCTTATCCCCCAAATCCACTTCATCAACTGGTGGTCGTCAGGATGGAAGTGGAACACCGGAATCAGGGAGAAGTAGCGCCGCCGCATTGGTTGGGGCCTTTGACGGGTTCGAGGGAGTCTGGATAGCATTGAAGTGAGTGTCATCGCCTTCACTCTTCTCAACATCCCGTCCTCGTCTTAGCTCTTTGGGACAACCTCCAGTCGCGCCTGAAAGTTGAGATGAATGGCAAGGTGATTGACCGCTCTCTCTGTGTTCATCAGTCATCGATCCGATCCAACCCTCGGTAAGTCATCTTCCACACCAACCCCATCTCATCTTCATTCCATCCCATCCCCGGTGATATAGCGGGTCCGAACGAGGGAGACGATTTGTTGCTGACGCTTGTTGCTTCCCTTATCACCATGCGATCGTAGGTCCAGGTATAGGCTACGTTCTGGCCGAGCGCATACTAGGGGTGAACCCAACCACCGACATAGATCTGGCCAAGTTCAAACCGTAAGCGACTGAGAGATCTCGAGCATGTTTGTATATCACTTGGAATTTATCATAGGATGCATTCATCATCAAAATGTGAGATGTTCAGAAATCGTCATGGGCGAGGAAGCAACAGAACAGCAAGCACCAAAGGTGGGCGCCGCGGACGCAGTACGACGACACTTTGTCGCTTCGAAAATATTACTACTATTACAACGGAACAGACGAACGGAACATACTAGTACAATAC